GTTCTCAATGACATTCATATCGATATCATGGACTACATCCTGCCTGCTTCTTGCACCGACACGGAGTTTAGACAGATGTGGGCGGAGTTTGAATGGGAGAACAAGGTATTGCAGAAAATATCAACATTTTGAGCGTTTGTCCTAACCTCGTACGCAGGCTCTTACCATCGCACGCCCTCCCATAGGCAAGAGCCTGGATACGAGGTTGCGTCTGTACTCGATAGATGTAGTTCATAAACAATTGTTGAAGCCTTTTTTAAAACTGGAAAAGTGCCTTTTTTCTGGGCTATTAAGTGCCTCATTTAAAGAAGGAAAAAGTATTTCTTGAATGAACACCCTCAAGTGCTCTTTTTACACGAGTAAAGACTCTGTAAAAGCCATTTCCAACGTTATAGAGACTCCATATTTTCAAAAATTTTCGTTCAGCTCGTGAATGACATAAAATCATTTGTTTTTGTTCATATACAAAAGACCCTTTTTGCCCAATGCCCCTCCACATTCAAAATGCTTTTGCAACCTCTGCTATAACTAGAGAGTCTGACAACTTTGTTTTTGTATTAAGTTATACATTACTATTGCTGTTTGCGCAACTTTGATATGCATATTCTAATTCTTGAACTGTTTTTGCCAGTGTAGGTAGCGCCAATCAAATGAAGAAGCTTTCGTTTGTAGGGATGGTGAAAATATTTTATATATCCCTACCAACGAATCTTGTGCATATTTTTGAAGTTGTTTTCTTGAGTATTTGCTTCTCAGATGTTTTGTCTTCGTCTAGGTCACTGTCAACACCAACATCAAGGACTTACGAGAATACATTGATCATCTTATCAATTGTACCAATATGAAACTTTTAACACCAGAAAAGGTAGGTTTCAATCTCAGTATCTTTTGCAATTAATATTAACCCCCATGCATACATACCCCCAACAAGTTTTTCTTGATGACAAGTTTACTTTCTCATGTGCACAGAATCAGAGCAATCTCGTTCCCCGAGCCTGCGATCCTCGGGG